AAACTGTGTTATGCCAATTGAGCTAGGTGTTCCCTGAGACCATGGTCCCCACAGCCCTCTGCCCAGCAATTCAGTCCCTCAGGGAGTTTGAATGTGTCTATGGAGCTTCCATGACCTTTCCTTGTACAAGTTGAGCTGGCTTCAAACTAGGAAAATCTGAAAGCCAGTGTACACCATTTGATTCAATGTAGTAACTATTTCTTAGTGCTTACCACGTGCCATGTGCCTGATGATAAAAACACAAATAAGGGGCTTAGGTTTTTATCTTGGGAAGACACAGTATCCATAGGCAGAAAGACAAAAGAAAAAACGTTTCATTTGAGAGGGATAGGTCCTGGACGAAATCTACAGAAGTTTCTCTTAATACCTCTGAAGTTTCTCTTAATACCTCTGGATAGATTATTGGGGGAAGCCAAAGAATCTGTCTTTAAGGAAGTTGCTTGATTACCTTGGTTCTATATCCGAAGAAAGGCCTGGCGATCTACTTCTGAAAAATCAGCCATTGAAAACCCTATGGAGCACAGCTCTACTCTGACACACATGGGGTTGTCGTGAGTTGGAGGCGACTTGTCATCAACTAACTGTTTTATCTATTACCTCCGGTTCTAAGCTCTCAAGAGAGGGGGTTGAATCAGATGACTTCTAAACCCCCAGCATCTTCCAAGATCTGTTACCTCTTGAGAAATATTGATGACCTACTAAAGTGACTCACGCCATGTAGGTTGCATATGGCATGAGTCAAAAGGAGGGACATGATAATTTGCTGGGCACATCTTCAGTCACAGGATATTGACAGGAGAGTAGAGGCAACAGGCTTAGCAGAATCAGGCTCCTTTGTGACTGTGGGAAACAGTCACCTTTGACCCATATTATTTTACCCAGATAAAGGAAATTCCTCTTCTACATGAAAATAGACTTCTAGCTTTATGAATATCAATATTGATGTCAATATCTATTTATCAGGTTGAAGATCATCATAGTTTTCCAGTTTTTAATGACATATTGGATAAGTATATATGATACTATCTTGGATATTTAAAATGAGAACTGTTTGTTTACCGATTTTCCTCCAATCTCGTTTTGTATTTTTTGGTTTTAGCTTATCAGTTTCACAATGGAATCCCTTGTTGCAGCAAACACCAAATTTTGCTTTGACCTTTTTCAAGAGATAAGCAAACAAGATGGTCATAGAAACATCTTTTTCTGTCCTCTGAGCCTCTCGGCTGCCCTCGGCATGGTCCGCCTGGGGGCTAGAAGCGACAGTCCTTATCAGATTGATAAGGTGAATATCAGCTGAGGTGCCTTACTCATCCTGATTCTGGTTCACACCCAAAGGAAGACACTGGTCCCATGTGAAAGCCAAGTTGCTTCTGCACCCTGGGCTTGCTGGAGCCTGCGTCTGCCTCTGAGTTTCATTGTATTTCTCCACCTGGAGGTCTTGCTTTCTCTTCAAGTTCTACCATTCCACAAGATGCAATTCACCTTCCACCTCCTTTGTGATGCCTCCCCAACCTCACCAGCTTTTTCAATTTATCTTCTGTCTCTATCTCTCTGTCTGTCTGTCTGCATGTCTGTCTTTCTGTTGCTCTATAATTATTGCTACCAATATTGCTAATACTTTAAGTATAGGTACATGCTTCCTTTCTTACTTTTTCTACTTAATAAATATTTATTAATCACCTGTTTTGCCTCCAGTGGCTTTGGCTAAAGACGTTGGCATCATCTTTGACTCCTTCTCTCTCACCTCACATCAAATTGTCAGAAAATTCCATTGACTCTTCTTTGAAAATATATTCAGAACTCAAACCCTCCTCACAGCCTCCCTGTGTTCTGAACCACCACCACCTCTTCTTATTTGAATACCACAATCACCTTCTAACGGCTTCTCTGCTTCTGGGGACAAAACAACTGCTGGAGAGGTCCTTTAGAGGGACCATTAGAGGTCCCTAAATCAGATCCTGTCTCTTATTTGCTCAAAACCCTTCTGAGACTTCCCTAACAGTAGAAGCCTTACAATCGTCCATGAGACACCATGGATCTGAATCCCAGACAACCCTATGATTCCATTTCTTACTCATGCCCCGCCTCCCCCCCACCCGCCCGCACCCCCCCACCCCACCTCCTGCACTGGGCTCCAGACACGACAGTGTTCATGGCCTCCTTAGATAAGCCACACCCACTCCTACCTTAGGCCCCTCCCTCTAGCTCTTCTCCCTGAGAACTGATTTGCTAGCTTACTTTTCTCCTGCAAGATTGAGCAAAGTCCACCTTCTCAGTAAAGCCTACCATGACCTCCCAATCTAATGCTGCATCCTAGCCCCGAGGCCCATAAGCACCCCTCTTATCCTAGCTACCTTTTTCCTACATGTCATTTTCCATCTTCCAACATACTGCATATTGTAATTAATCACTATGTGTTTTGCTTTTTGTATGCCTCTCTCACTGAAACACAACCTCCTAGAGGGTAGGAATCTGCCCTAGCACAGTGCTTGGCTTATAGGTGCCACCCAATAAATATCTGTACAATGAATGAATGGATGGACAAGAACAATCCCCCAAATAAATTGTATGCTCCCGAGGTTGGTTTTCTCTTTCCTTGAATCTAGCATACACTTCATGTATGTGGGGGCCACGTATAAATACAGCTGTTGCACCCTCACTATGGATAAGTTGGATAAGTAGATTAAGACAGAATTTGTTTGGGGGTAATTCTGCTTTATTCATTTACTTTGATTTGATATATTATTATTTTTTTATTCCATTAATAAAACAGCTTTAGAATGTGGCCCCCATCCTCCAGGTCAGGTTTCAAGTTTTTCTCTTTCTTGGCACTTGGATGTCACCTGCCAACACATTTGGTCTGACAGTGCAGGACAGGCCACCTGTCTCCTACTTTCTGCAGTGCTCTGGACAACTTGGCTTTACTGTCCTTGCTCCTTTGACTGATTTGAAGCCCTAGATCAGTGCTGTCCAACACACATATGTAATGAAAAACATTTAGTAGCCATATTAAAACAGTAAAAAGAAACAAGTGAAACTAATTTTAATACTATATTTTATCTAACCCAATATAACAAAGTATTATCAACATGTAATCAATATAAAAATATTAGTGAGATATTTTACAGTTCTTTTTTTTTCATACTCAACCTTTAAAATTCAGGGTGTGCTTTATACCTATTGTTGTTGTGTGCCATCGTGTTGATTCCAGCATGTTTCATTTTAGGCTGGCCACCTTTTAAGTACTCAATAGCCATGTGTGGCTTGTGGATTCTGTGTTAGACTGCACAGCCCTAGATTCTTTTAGTTTGGTTATGTTCATCCTTTCATATGGTCCCAAGGGGGTAGCATTCACTAGTTATTGCTGTTAGCTGATGTTGAGTCAGCTCCCAACTCATGGTGAGCCTAAGCACAAGGGAACAAAATGCTGCCTGGTCCTGCACCATCTCCATGATCGGTTGTAGATCGGACCATTGTGATCCATAGGGTTTTCATTGGCTGACTTTTGAAAGTACGTTGCCAGGCCTTTCTTCCTACTATGTCTAGTCTGGAAGCTCCACTGAAACCTATTCAGCCTCATACCAACACCCCAGCCTCCACTGACAGACAGGTGGTGGCTGGGCATGAGATGCTGGGAATTGAACACAGGTCTCCTTCAAGGAAAGCAAGAATTCTAGTACTGAATCCCCACTGCCCCCCAGCATTCAGTTACTTCCCTTCTATTCAACCTTACAACACAGACAAAAAGAACATTCACTTTCCTTTGAACTGTTGATTGTTTTGTTTGATTCTGTCACCGTTGTCATTTTTGCATTATAGAAATGCTTCTGAAACTATTCAGACATCCTGCTGTTGATATTGTATGAAAGACTCTATGCCATTCCACACAGGTACTCCATTTCAATGAATTTTCCCAGAGTGAAATCAAAGAAACCCACCCCTGTCTGAAAAGCAACAAACTGGAAGTGGTGGCTGACAGCCACATGGAAGGGCAGGAAAGCACAAAGGGGCCTCTGAATCTGCAGGTGAGCTGCACAAGCCCCCACCTCTCTTCTTTACAAACTAGGCATTCTGCTGTTCTACCCTTGGTGATGATGGCTTAAAGAAAACATTAGGTCCTGACTCAACAACTACAACCACCTCACATGACCTGCCATTCCTTTCTGATTATATGTCTATATGCCCTTGGCTAGAAGACAGTTTTCTAAAGAGTAGGATCTAGTATCTTCTGTTCATGATAAAGAAGCTGACATCATTGCCCCATTACTCATCTGCTTCTATAGGCCGCAGGTCCCCAGAATGGAGCATGGTCAAGCATGAAGGGCAGTGAGGGGTGGGGCCATCTGAGGGATTCTTACTCTCTCCCTCTACCTCTGCCTCCTCTATTTCATGCCAAAATCTGTACTGACACACAAGGCATTTATTGGCTAACTCATACCAGTTGTAGGAAAGATATTCTCCAGGTTATATATCACCCTGCCTTAGAAAGTTTAAGAAGAGAGTGGAGAGAAGATTGTCTCTTACTTGTATCTTTTTGAATGCACAGAGAAATGGGACTCACCAATCTGAAATATACTGTGCATTGCTGAGTCCCCAGACACATTTTTCCTGGATGATTTTTGTACCAGTCTAGGAGCCATGATCTTCAAATGTGTCCATTCTCCCCCTCCTCACCTCTCTTCTTCCTAGCTTGCTCATCCTACAAAGCAAATTAGCATCTCACTATGCAGATCTAACTTGCTTTTGGAAAAAAAAAATACTTGTACTTTATTGTTTGCTGCCGTCAAGTCGGCCTCCAGCTCTTGGGGGCTCCATGTACCACTGGATTGGATTGTTGTGATCCATAAGTTTTCCATTGGCTGGTTTTTGGAAGTAGATCTCCAGGTCTTTCTTCCTAGTCTGTCTTAGTCTGGAAGCTCTGCTGAAACGTGTTTAGCATCACAGCAACATGCAAACCTCCACTGACAGACCAATGGTGGTGTCACATGAGGTGCATTGGCTGGGAATTGAACCCAGGTCTCCCTCATGGAAGGTGAGTTTTCTACCACTTAACCACCATAACTATTCTGATAATGGCATGAAGATCACATATTGTTTCTTCTTTTACTAGGCTGAGTCTTCAAATGATGAGAGTGGAGTATTCAGCTCTTACTTCGGGAAGCTCCTCTCCAGGCTGGACAAAATGGGAGCTGATTACACCCTGTGTATTGCCAACAGGCTCTACAGAGAGCGGGAATTTCCAGTCTGCCTGGTGAGTTACACAGGCCTGGTGATTAAAGCTACATCTCCAATACTTATTTAAAAATGAATGGGTAGCTGGGTCACTCACCTGCCAGATGATGTGCTGTTGACTGGTGGGTGTCCGGACCCACCTCTTTGTCTCCCACACCTTCCGTTTCTCTCCTCCCTCGGCCGATAGCCCACACGAGGCCGGTGTGAGTGAAAAAGAGTGGGTGCGTGAAGGATCATGGGACCAACAGCCTTCAGAAAAAGAAAGGTTTGACTTTCTTTCCCCGTCAAGGTCCTTGTAGGTGCACTGGTAGCTCCTGTTGCTATTGGCTTCCCTCAAGACTCTTCTCTAAACTCACTTTTTGTGCCACAACCAGGCCACCGCCAGTGAAATTGTGCTCCCTAAGCTCCTAAGAATAGGGTGGTGTACTGGGAGGAGGCTGCATTTGGAGCCAAAGGCTCAGGTCTCCTTTCTGGGGCTCAACAGCTTTATATCTATTGGGACATCAATCTAGGCTTGTTTCCTCTCCAGCTACTAGAGGGAGACACATACTTAGCAATAAAAGTGAGGGGTCTGCTCAATGGCAAATACACCACACAGCTGGTGAGGACGGGGCTAGTCAGGAAGGGGGTAACCTAATTTTGACCAAAATAAGTGTGTTCTCTTATGACGGAAATGAGATTTTATACGTTGAGCTTTAATTCTTCAATACGGAAACATTTTACAGTTAAGTCTCTCAAGTTTTTTGACATTTGTGATGTCTCAAATGGATTGCCCAAATAAAAGGACATCTGCTAGGAAAGGATTGTGCCTTTCTAACCATGGACTATTTCGTGAATAAATGTTCTATATCCTATATTGTCATTGCAATAAGCAAAGTGCCTCTGGCCAATCTGACGTTTGTTCCTCTGGTGTTTAGTGACAGGGTCATCTTCCTCATTAGGCTTCTCATGGTTGCCTCACTCCTGCTAGAATCATGATTGCATTTTATTGTACTATTTTCTATTCATTCCAATTTAACAGGAATACTTGGATGGTGTGATTCAATTTTACAACGATTGAAAGTGTTGATTTCTGGAAGGACGCTGAAAAGTCCAGACAAGAGATTAACTTCTGGGTTGAATCTCAATCTGAAGGTAAGAGAGAACAAAACACACTGTGGCTGGTATTCCTTTCCATTTTAAAAGAAAACCAACAACAGTCCAGCTTTTCAGGTTTCTGGCCTGTCAGGGGCCAGAGGCTCACGTGCGTGGACTAGGTTCAATGCTTGCTCGGCAGGTGCCAAGCAGGTAACAGTGCTTAGACACTATTGTTACTGATTTCGCTCTTCTGCTCCATCATAAAGGTGAAATGCCTATCAGCTAAGTGCAATGCCAGCAGAATGTGAACTATTTCCATTATTTTTAAAGAACCAGTAAAAAGTTAAGATTAAGAAGAAACTGTAGTTATTCAGAGGGAAGTGAAAATAATAAAACCCCAACTCTTACTAATGTTTCAGTAGAGATAGGTGTTCCTGGAGTGAGGGGAGATTTACAGATGGTGATGAGGGGTGATAGTTTGAGTTTAACATATTGGAATAATATTTTAATATAAAGCTCCCCTCCCAGCCCTGCCCAGCCCCCATAAAATAGAAATCTAAATGGACCACTGGACTAATAAGGAACATCATGAGAAACAGAGACAATATCGAACTTGTCAAGGATTTCGTTTTACTTGTATCCACAATCAATGTCCAGGGAAGCAGCAGTCAAGAAATCAAACACTGTACTGCATTGGGCAAATCTGCTGCAAAAGACCTCTTTAAAGTGTTGAAAAACAAAGATATCACTTTAAGGACTAAAGTGAGCCCGGCCCAAGCCATGGTATTTTCAATGGCCTCATGTGCATGTGAAAACTGGACAATGAATAAGGAAAACTGAAGAAGAACTGATACATTTGAAATATGGCGCTGGTGAAGAATATTAATATACCATGGACTGTCAGAAGAATGAACAAATCTGTCTTGGAAGAAGTACAGCCAGAATACTTCTTAGAAATGAGGATGGCAAGACTTCATTTCATGTACTTTGGACATGTTATCAGGAGGCATCAGTCCCTGGAGAAGGACATCATGCTTGGTAAAGTAGAGGGTCAGCAAAAAAGAGCAAGACCCTCAGTGAGATGGATTGACACAGTGGCTGCAACAATGGGCTCAAACATAGCAATGATTGTTGTACATAGGGTTGCTATGAGTCGGAACTGACTGGGCGGCACCTAACAACAACAACAACAAATGCAAGAGGGGTCAGATTGTGTGAAGATTACCTTGTGTGGCAGAGAGAATTCAAGTTGCAAAAGGGCAATGCTAGCTTGTAGAACAGGACCTCCGTGGTGGGGCTTCTAAAGTGGCCATTCATTCCCAATCTCATTTAAATCCATCTGGAGCCCTAACTTGCTTGCTGGAAACCCAGCCATCAAATGTACTGGCCTGGGTGCCATGCTTAGGAATCATCAGCTGTGATCCTTTATGAGTAGTAATTTCTATCGACCCTCTATGCTCTAACTGTCCTCCTTCTAATATTTTCCTCTTTGCTTACTCAGTTACATGGCCATTCCAAAAAACATATGAAAAGCAGTGCTTGAGAAAAATTTCATTCTTTGTGAAATACCTATACCCTGACTGTGTGTAACTTGGTAGAGTGAGAGGCTCTTCACTGCTGTGATGCTTGCATTAAAAAACACAACAGGTACTAAATGTAACTATGGGCCTGACGGCAGCTAAATTGGCCAAATGACCTTGGTGTTGGTGAACTCTCTGGTTCTCAGTAGCCACACGTGTAAAGTGATGGAGTATAGATGAGAAGATCTCTTGCCTCCATAAAATTATTCCATGATTCTCTAAAACAGCATTGTCTTTAGTAAATGGAAGCCATAGTCTCATGTTCTAAGTTCTTCACATTTACATCTAGATTGTTCATTTTCTTTGTTTCAATATTTCTAATGCTTCCATTATAGTTTTGGACTTCCTTTTGGTGGTGTGGATTGCGTCCTATCATTTTCTGAATCTTATTAACGTTTTCAGCATTGACTGTCTCATTTGCCCATAGAATCAAAACTCATCTTCCCTAAAAAAATATCCATTGAAATTGCAGTTGGGCTGTCTTATTAGAATTACTTAGCACCTATCCCTTTGACTTACAACATCTACCACACAATAAAAATAACATAGCACATTAAAAAACACTCTTTAATTGAAATGCATGGGGTTCAAAACCTACAATAACTGTCTTGTGTCTTATATTTACTTGTAATTAACACCTATATATCTACCTGTCTCTCTACCTATCAATCTATATAATGAGAGAGAGAGGTTTCTGGGTGGTGCAAATGGTTAAGCTCTTGACTACTAGCTGAAAGTTTGGTGATTTGAACTCACCCAGAGATGCCTCAGAAGATAGGCCTGGTGATCTGCTTCCAAAAGTTCATAGCCTTGAAAACCCTATGGAGCACAGGTCTACTCTGCACACATGGAGTCGCCATGAGTTGGAACAACCAACAATAACGTGCGTGTGTATGTGATGCTGAACAGATTTCAATGGAGTTTCCAGAATAAGCAGAGTAGGAAGAAAGGCCTGGCAACCTACTTCTGAAAATCAGCCAATAAGAACCGTATGGACCACAATGGTACAATCCTGTTATGCATGGGGTTGTCATGAGTTGGGGCCAACTCAATGGCAGCTAACAGCAGCAAATGTATATAGATAGATGTCTTGAGATAAGAATTTTATTCAATGCTTCTTTCCTCAAGGAGCTTATGATAAAATCAGGTGGTGGGATCTGTACTTTGAAAGATAAACCATGGTATAAGATGTCTGATGACAAGTGTCTAACCACAAGTGCTATAGAGAATCAAAGCGATTCCCTCAGTGTTCTAATTGGAACTTCCTTTGGGGTGGGGAGAGTTCCTCCCCTCAACCCTACTCCAGCCCCACCCCACCCCACCCCCACTCAGGACTGTGAGTGTTTTAATTTTCTTGGGTTAAATCTTGAATGAGATCCTCTCTAGTCTTGGGGATGTTAAGCTGCCTTTATTTATTTATTTAACTCTGTCCACATGAATACTTGTGATACAGTTCATACTCAGGATCTTCCCTGGCATGTTTTCTTTAGATAAAATCAAAGAGTTCTTCAGCCAGGACACCATCAACAACATGACTGTGCTGGTGCTGGTGAATGCCGTGTACTTCAAGGCCAAGTGGTAGAAGTATTTTGACTCTAAAAACACAGTTGATACACCTTTCTTTATGAACGAGGTACAATGTTGGAGCACATGGCTTTCTAGAGATTTCATGCATAGTTTCCACTAAGAATAACTTGGCATCTGTACACTCAAATCTAAAACTTAGGTCTCTGGGTGATAGCTTCCATTTATAATAAGAACCTAAAGTTGATGAGCATTTTTCTGCCAGGTACTATACTGAGTATTTTATACTGTCATAGCAACATGCAAGCCACCACAGTACGACAAACTGACAGATGAGTGGTGGGTTGGCAAAATAAGACCAACTAATCAGTGGGTGTGGGACTCTCCTAGGTTGAATCTCTGGTGTGGCTCAAGACTTCTTATCCAGGCCATTTCCACCTTAAAGAAGTCCTATTCTCAGGATAGTAGGGCCCAGCGAGAATAAGGCTTTAGGAATTTGTGGGCTTATCATGGCAGCCCTATGACTCCCTATATGTCCATTACAGAATGAAAAGAAGACTGTGAAGATGATGAACCAAATGGGTCTGTTTAGAATTGGCTTCATAGAGGAACTTCAGGCACAGATCCTTGAAATGAGGTACACCAAGGGGAAACTCAGCATGTTCGTCCTGCTGCCATCTTCCTCCTCAGACAACTTAAATGGTCTGGAAGAGGTAAGTCTTTATTTTCATGTCTCTACAAAATATTTAATTATAGATCTTTGGAGTATGACATTATCTACCATCCATGGCTCTGAGGAAGGATGAGCTATCAGATATATGCAGCAATACATAAATAAGAAGCCAGTTGTCGTCAAGCAGACTCTGACTCATGGTCATCCCATGTGTGTCAGAGTCGAACTGTGCTCCACACGGTTTTCAATGGCTGATTTTTCAGAAGTAGATCTTCAGGGCTTTCTTCCAAGGCACCTCTGGGTGGACTCGAACTTCCAACCTTTGTTAGCAGCCAAGCATGTCAATCTCGTTTGCCCCACCTGAATTGATGAACCATTTATTCTTCATTTGTTCAGACCTAAAGAACAAATGCCAAAATATTGGAGTAGGAGTTTTCACTCTAACTTCATAGCTCTTTGCAATTTTTTTTTTCCTAGATAAAGGAATCTGGATGCTGAGTAGCTTGAGAATTGCTGCAAATGAATCAGCGTTTCCTTTGGCGTTTTTACTCTATTTTGCTATAACTCAGTTAAAGACCCTTCAGCTGAATTTCTTTCTTTCTTTTTTTTTTTTTTTGTGCATGTGCTTTGACAAAAGTGGGGATCCTGATACTGGGGTAGACTATCTGTGAGGTAGGAATTAATGAAGGCTGAGGATGCTCAGTGACCTATTGTGGAGATAGAGATACAGAAAGAGAGAGAGGAATATTAGTATAGTAATTATAACAACAATAACAGTAGCATTATGTGACAACTCTGTTTAGTAATTTACATATATTATTTTGTTTAATCCACCCAAGAGTCTAATCATATTATCTCTGTTTTATAGAATGGGAAATTGAATTCAGAATGTTAAGGTGAAAATCACCCAGCTAATCAACAGAGCTTTGCTGGACTTGGCACACTAGTCTGTCTGCACCCAAAGCACACTAGAACCCAAATTGTTCCATAACTTCTCATAAAGAGGATAGAGATTTGCTTGGAGGAGTTTTAAGTGAAATCAGAGTATTCTGAAGTTTAGGCAAAGACCTAGAAAGTTTGTTACTGAGTGTTGAAATTGACTCAGACACTTCGAAGTAATTGGGGGCATTCTTTGCAGGCCCATAATCTGACCTTAAATATTATCTTTCCCCCTTGTAACTTGAAAAGAAAATGACCTATGAAAAAATAGTGGCCTGGACCAGCTCTGAAAATATGTCAGAAGAAACAGTAGCTGTCTCTTTCCCCCAGTTCACCCTGGAAGACAGCTATGATGTCAATTCTATTCTACAAGACATGGGCATTGTGGATATCTTTGATGAAACAAAGGCTGATCTTACAGGAATTTCTTCCAGTCCTAATCTGTACCTGTTGAAGATTGTACACAAGACGTTTTTGGACGTAGATGAAGACGGCACCTGGGCAGCTGCAGCCAGTGGAGCTGTTGGTGTGCTGAAGTCAAAGCCACCCTATACGACCTTCAGTGCCAATCGTCCTTTTCTCTTTTTCATCAGACACAACCAAACTCAAACCCTTTTCTTCTATGGCAGGGTCTACTCTCCTTGAAACGGGGGCAGTGTCTCATGCTTGGGAGCTGGAAGAATATGGCAATACACGCTTGCCCTAGCACAACACGAGTATTTGCACTATTGCTGATATATAAAGCTGACTGCATTGCCCTCACAGCTCCATGCTCCCTCCAGCCATCAGAGGTGCTTGTCCTCATCTCTCCCTCACCCTATAGCTGCTTCTTGTACAAATCCATTAGTATTGAAGCATCCTTGATCCCTCCCTAACCTCTTCATCACCCTAAGCTTTCAAGTAGACACATTTACCATCTGTGACTTCAAGGTCAACACAATTCACAATGGTTTTAAGTTACTTAATATTAAGTTACTTAAGTTCTTATTAAGGAACCCTGAAAGTTCAAGTCACTGGACCACTTCTAAGACCTGGCAAGATCAGAAACCACTTTAAAATGGGCACTAAGAGGAAATATTTAAATGGAGTATGTTTTGGAAACCCAACTCTATTTCTATAGCAGTTGTAATGGAGGCAAGACACATGTCTCTTCCTCTTACGTCTTCTTTTGCTGCATAGAAGATGTCCTGTGAGGTGCTTCTCTCTTGGGAGAAAGTAGGGCTTGGGGATGAGTTTAAGTGATAGCTGGAGGATTTAAGAATGCCCTACCCAGCCCTCATTTTTCAAAGAGTAGGAAAATGACACTTGTTTTGTGAATTTGACTAACCCAAGAGTGGCAGGTGGATTTAAAAGAGATTGGTCTCAGTTTTCCTTATTGAGTCCCACAGGGCGGTGCCATCAAGCTCTCCCTTCTGTCTCGTCTTCACCCCCTTCCTCAGAGAATTCCCATCTGCAGTTACTCTTAAATACCCAGCTGCTGAGGTTGGGAAGAGGAGACTGCCTTCCATACAGACTGCTGGGCTCCCTACTCCCCTCTGTCTCTACTCTGGCCACATGAGGGACATATTTGTCTGCTTGGAGATCACATGGCTGGCCACATCTTGAGAGTCACCTGGGCCTGGGCTCTGAGCACGTGGAGACCCTTGTCAGGAGGACCATTGCCCTCAGATCCTGAGCAGCTATTCCCGTTACCTACTGAGAACCTGGCTCCTGAGTGTTCAGACTCCTGGACCTGGGACCTTGGTTCTCTGATATGGCAGTCTGAGTTCCTGATCTCTGCCTTAGCTGAACAATCTGGAACGACCACTGACATGGCTAACTCAAGAAATTGGTCAGTCTCTCTTCTGTAGAGGTGAATTTCTGGTCCTGGTTCTGACCCAGTTTCCCTGTCCTGCCCTATCACTGTCCTCCTCCTAATTGATTATGTGTGGCTGTAACTTTTTTGCAGAATGTAGGCTAACTCCACCTGCTCTCATGCTGGCTCCCTGTCCCCCCGATTCTCCTGTGTACTAGCTATTTCTTTGTGCTGTGAGAGATGCAGTCCACACTCTTTACACAGACTTCTCATCATGGAAGCTCTCTTAGGGTATAAAACAACTTCTTATTGGTAATATGAGTCGGTTGAAAGCAGCTCTTAGAAGTCCTTTCCCCAGGATACATGTTTCATGGATCAAATTTATCTCAGATAATCAAATGCTTATTCTCCCCTGTGGTTCCCTTTGGGGTTGACATATTGGGGCTGAGTCATGCCTGACTTTGGCATCACTGTCAGACACTGAGCTGGGTGACTCAGTGTCTAGTATTTTAATGTTCTTTTTCATTACCTTGGTAAACACATTTTTTCTTTTATATTGGAATACCTCAGAATTTGAATCATGAGGGGGAAATATCTATTTAAATAATGAGAAATTGTGAGATTTCTAAAATCTTTCTTTTTTAAATCATACTCATATTCTTTACTTTGATTGATTAAAATGTTTCTTCTTAGTGAATAAAGCACTTTGTTACTAGTTAAAATATGCATAATATGTTGCCAGTTGACTTTTTTAATGACATAAATGTAATTAAAAAAATTTTCATCCAAAAATATAGCAACACATAATCTATAAAACTAACAATTTATCTCAGTTATGTAGAAAAAAACATATCTTGCCCAGTTGTACTTTCTCCCAACTTTCTACCATAATTACATGTGAAGGTAAATGAATAATTTGTTTTAGAAGGATCAGCACAAAGCTGGTTCCTATGAGGCAGAGGTTAAAGATGTCCCAAATGTCCAGTTTTTCCAAACTGCTGTACCACTCCATCGTCTCTAACATCAACTACTCTCCCTCCCCTCAGTACTCTCCCTCTCATCTGTAATTCGCTGCAGTGTCTCAGAGAACTCATGAACCGTGCTTACAGTTAAGAGATTCATTAGGGAAGTAACAGTAAAACTTGGGATCAGGATCAACTTGGAAGTAATAGGAACAACTCAGGATGCAGTTCTTCAATTAGCTCAGCTTCTTCTCACCCTCTGCCACTGGGCCCTGCTCAGGGCCTTCTGCCACTGGGTCCTGCTTGAACAAGTGTTACAGCTCTCTCTTCAGCTCCACAGATAAGTGCCCGGAGGCACCCCACTCTACCAGCAAGACTCCTGCCCAAAGGCACTCTGCTGTCTTGCTCTGTGGGTCTGCACACTCACTGTAGCCACCTCGCTCCATAGGCCTGGAAGCCCACGGCATCCATCTTGCACTGATCTCCTGGTTCTACTGCTGCCATTTCTCTGCTGCGGGACTCTGCTTTGCTTGCTGCCACTTCTTGCCATCATGTGCCATCTCTGGTGTTACAGCTCTCTGTCTCCTGGGTCTAGGAGGTTCTCAGCAGAGGCCCCAGGTCCACAGGATGTGTTCCACTCCTGGCTCTTCTTCTTGATGGTTGTGAGGTCTCCTTCTCTGCTTCTTGGATTGGCTCCCTTTAAGCCTAACCGGATGGCAAAACTGACCAATTCCCTTGTTAGGGTTCCATACACCTTATTTGCATGGTCCCACACCCCACAAGGGTTCCATGCATCTTATTTGCATTATTAACAGGCTGTCCTATTCCCTTGGTGGGCCACTAGCACCTTATTTGCATAGTCCCACCCAATCATTTTGTGGGAGTCACAAGACCATGCATGGCTAGAAGGGCCATATTAAGTAATTCACTGCGTGGCAGAAGGCATACAAAAAAGATGAAAACTCACAACAATTCTAAAACTCAAACACGATAGCTAACTGGTCATCAGAATATGGAAGAAATTTCTACTGACAAATTAATGGGGCTGGACTTAAAGGCATACCATTGCGTCAATCTGCTTTACTTCCTTCCATCACTGCCTTCTCCTGAGTTCTGAAACACAAAATCTCTGCAGATATAAATTTTGGACGTCCATCTCTCTGCTGTGTGCTTGCTGCTGTACTCCATCCTCTGTCTTATCAGCTTGTTTTCTTTCTGCAGCCATCTGAAGACTAAATGAAACTCCCCAAATACAAGTTGGGGGAAGATGGGGACAGGCATTGGCACTTTTCACCCGAGGCAGTTTAATCATGTCACAAGTAAAGTATTTTTGGTGGGGACAAAGACAGGAAAAGTCCTGGCAGAGTGCACTTGGTTTTGTGTATTTCACAGACCCTATTTGTTTACTGCGGGAGAGAGCCAGGCCATGCAGGGAAAGGAGATTCTACCTTAGTCCAGCAGAACTATGCTTGATGGAAGCCTACTAGATACGGGGAATTAGGCAATTAGGAAGTCTTGACTCCTGGTTTTTTTTTTTTAACACCAGCAAGATTGACCCCTTTGTATGGCAGCCAGAGGCAGAGAAAACATGCAAGGCAATGTTGTTGTTGTTAGGTGCCATTGAGTTCATTTAGATTCATAGTGATCCCATGTGACAGAGTCGAACTGCCCCATAGGGTTTTCCAGGCTATAATCTTTATGGGAGCAGATCGCCAGGTCTTTCTCCTACAGAGCCGCTGGTTGGGTTCAAACTGCCAACCTTTTGGTTAGGAGCCGAGTGCTTAACCGTTGCACCACCAGGGCTCCTATGCAAGGCAGTAGGCATCTATAATTACTAGAAATGCAACCAGCTCATGAAAATCACCAAAAGAACAAGCTCCTCCATGCCTCAGTTCAAGGTTCCCCCCCAATACAGCCATGCAGACAGGTAGAACAAATGGGGCAATGTAGGTTAAAAAACAATTGATTCATTTATGCTGATTGTAAGTATTCTGGTGAGAGAATCATGGACATACAATATTCAACAGTCTCCCTAGTACTCTAGTTCACAGGATCTGTATGTTTTATTTTATTCCAACCGAAGACCTCCTTATGATCTCATACAGTGTCTAATGCATAAACTCCCCTTTAAGTTCCTCCTCAGTTCTTCGCCTGAGATGGAGCAATCCAGAACATATTTTGCCTCATCCCTAATTACTTTTGCTTCTTTGGCATGCGTGTTTTTTTTTTTTTTTTTTTTAAATTACAGTATCATTAGCTCAAGGTGGAGTTCCTGTACCTGGGTCAACAGAGAGGAAACTGTGAGGTTGTCTCAGTGCACTTCTTTGCTTCGTAGTTGGATCCCAACTCCAAATGTGTTCCTCATTCACAGTGTTGTTGTTAGGTGTGTCGATTCAGTTCTGACTCATAGAGACCCCATATACAACAGAACAAAATATTACGTGGCCCTGCACCATCCTCATAACTGTGGCTATATTTGAGCCCATTGTTACAGCCACTGTGTCAATTCATCTCACTGAGGATGTTCTTCTTTTTCACTGACCCTCTACAGTACCAAGCATGATGTCCTTCTCCAGGGACTGGTCCTTCCTGATAACATGTCCAAAGTAAATGAGACGAAGTCTTGCCATCCTTGCTTCTAAGGAGCATTCTGGCTGTACTTCTTCCAAGATAGATTTGTTCATTCTTTTGTCAGTCCATGGTATATTCAATATTCTTCACCAACACCATAATTCAAAGGTATCGATTCTTCTTCTGTCTTCCTTATTCATTGCCCAGCTTTCACATGCATATGAAGCGATTGAAAACACCATGGCTTGGGTCAGGCACACCTTAGTCCTCTAAGTGACATCTTTGCTTTTTAACACTTTAAAAGGTCTTTTGCAGTA